GTTTCCAGGCTGGAGTGCAGTGGCACGATTCTTGTGCCTCAGCCTCCTGAGTAGCTGGGACTACAGGTGCCTGCCTCCACTCCCAGCTAACTTTTTTATTTTTGGTATTTTAGTAGAATTGGGGTTTTACCATGTTGCCCAGGATGGTCTCGAACACCTGAGCTCTGGCAATCTGCCCTCCTTGGCCTCCCAGAGTGCTAGGATTCAGGCATGACCACTGTACCCCGCCTGGAATTGCTTTCTTAATTATTCACATTTACCAGTATATAAGACACAACTGATATCTATGTGTTGATCTTGTACCCTGCAACTTTGCAGATTTGTATCTTTTCTTGTGGAATCTGTAGACTTTTTGTATATGATCGTGTCTTGACTTCTTCCTTTCAAGCCATATACTCTTGTACCATGGCATACTGGCCTGTGGTATCTTTAGCCGTGCCACCTACCCTTCCCAAATAAAATCTCTGGTAAGCAGTAAACAGCCCTCTTGAATCAAGTTACTACTCTGAAGGATAGTGGTAATTTTAAAGGAAGAGACCTTTTAGTAGAATTGGGGTTTTACCATGTTGCCCAGGATGGTCTCGAACACCTGAGCTCTGGCAATCTGCCCTCCTTGGCCTCCCAGAGTGCTAGGATTCAGGCATGAGCCACTGTGCCCCGCCTGGAATTGCTTTCTTAATTATTCATTACCAATATATAAGACACAACTGATATCTATGTGTTGATCTTGTACCCTGCAACTTTGCTGAATTTGTATCTTTTCTTGTGGAATCTGTGAACTTTTTTGTATATATGATCGTGTCTTGACTTCTTCCTTTTCAAAGCCCATATACTCTTGTACCATGGCATACTGGCCTGTGGTATCTTTAGCCGTGCCACCTACCCTTCCCAAATAAAATCTCTGTTAACCAGTAAACAGCCCTCTTGAATCAAGTTACTACTCTGAAGGATAGTGGTAATTTTAAGGAAGAGACCGAGTCTTCAGTATTAAAACCCTATTAGATAGCATTCAGTTGTGGGCTTGAGCGCATGAGATTACTTGACTGCTACCCAGGGCACACAGACAGGGAGCCTAGCCCTCTAAAGCCTCTATCTCTCTGGTTACTCTGATTCGGGTGCAGGTGCACAGAGAACATAGGGGCAGGCAGTGGACCCATGCAGCTCCGTGAGGGCCAGGGGTGTTTGTCTCCTTTGTGTCCCCTCTTGTATCTCTCCACAGCCTACACATAGATCTTCAATATTTGTTGAATGACTAGAGGAATAAAAGCCACAGAGAGCAGGATGATACCTGTGTGGTGATTATAGTACATGGACTTTGTTTTGTTTTAGCTGTTTTCGGGGCTATAAGCGCCTTTGAGAATCCAGTGAAAGTTGTGCAGTCTTCAGAAAAACAACATACATTCATGCATTTGCATACAACTTGGCAGGATGTTCTTTGGTCACGGAGACCCATTCACGTCACCCAAGTTAGAATTTATGATTCTAGTGCCACCAGTGTACTCCTGATCTTACTTTTATGTAACCTGAAAGCATGAAATCTCAGAATATCAGTACAGGGAGTGGGGACTGATTATGGAACCAAAAAACTGCTGTGACGGCCAGTGCTTGGGCCCTCCAGTGCCTTGACTGCTCTTTGAATCAAGTGCTACATGCCAGTCAGTAGAGTCTTTTCCTGGACAACACTCTGGACAAGTAGGGCTGTAGGAAACTATTGCCAGCAGCAAGAGGTACCCTCTTGCTATTTAACTCTTGGTAGACATAAAAGGGCTGACTAGTGTCCCTGGCGTATGTGTTTTAGAGTTAATGTGTCCACTCCCCAGGTGCTAAGTGCGGCCAGCCCCAAAGATAGTATTTTGACAGTACTAATAATGATTAGGATTGTCCTGTTCCATAGGGTGAAAATTAATAAAGATAATGCATTAGGTATGTGCTTCCTCTTAATCTGTTGATAAGGTCAACCACATCTTCCAGATGTAGTTTGCCCCTTGAACCAAGTTGGTATCTACCTACATCAAGATTGATCTGCCCTCTGACTGCACTTTCAGGGATCATTTCTATAGTTCATTACTAGAGAAGTTTATCTGAAGGTGTAGAGCACCAAAAAAAAAAAAACAAAAAAACAAATTGATCTGCCCTCCAGAGTGAGTGCTTCTTTGAACTGGATCCGTGTACCATGAACCCAGAGGAAGAATAGGGAGTGATGAGGGAAACAGCAAGGTGACTGCCAAGCTACCAACCATTTTAGGTTGTGCTCAGCACAAGCACTGTTCGGTAGAGCCATGGAAGAAGCTGGTCCATAGCCAGGCCTGTAACTGGGCAGCAGGCTGCATAACAGCCAGGATGTCTTTTCTGTGTTAAGATAGAAAACAGCATGAGGAATGATGATGGTGTTTTAGCATGTGGAAACTCCTGCAAGGCCACAATGAGGCACTAGTGGTCAAGGGGCCACCAGAAGTCTCTCAGCCATTCTCTTCCTAGGCTGCTCTTTGACCTACTTCTGCTGGTCAAGGTTCCCTCTAAGCAGTAGCTCCTTGATCCTGTGCTCTGCAGCATTGATTTAGTAGTGTTTTTCTGCCACTTGCTGCTTTTATGTGTCTTCTCTCTCTCTCTTTTTTCTTTTTAATAGAAGCTAGGTCTCACTATGTCACCCAGGCTGGTCTTGAACATGTGGCCTCAAGTGATCCTCCTACCTTGACTTCCCAAAGTGCTGGGATTATAGGCGTGAGCCACTGCGCCTGGCTACACCAAGTGCAGTGACATGATCTTGGTTCACTGCAACCTCCACCTCCCAGGTTCAAGTGATTCTCCTGCCTCAGCCTTCTGAGTAGTTGGGATTACAGACATCTACCACCACACCTGGCTGATTTTTGTATTTTTTAGTAGAGACGTGGTTTTGCCATGTTGGCCATGCTGGTCTCGAACTTCTGACCTCAGGTGATCCACCTGCCTCGGCCTCCCAAAGTGTTGGGATTACAGATGTGAGCCACTGCGCCCAGCCTTTTTCTTTTTCTTTTCTTGAGACAAGGTCTCGCTCTGTCACCCAGGCTAGAGTGCAGTGGCATGATCACAGCTTACTGCAACCCTGCAACCTCTGCCTCCTGCACTTAAGCGATCTTCCCACCTCATCCTCCCAAGTAGCTGGGACTGCAGGTGCATGCCGCCATGCCTGGCTCATTTTTGTATAGAGACAGGGTTTCACTGTGTTGCCCAGGCTGGTCTTGAACTCCTGGGCTTAAGTGATCCACCCGCCTTAGCCTCCCAAAGTGCTAGGATTACAGGTGTAAGCCACTGCGCCCAGCCACTTCGTGTTTTTTACACTATGTTATTATCTAACAAAGATTCATCGTGTATCCCACTTAAAAGACAAGTTTTTTGAGGATACGAACTGACCTGCCCATTTTCCATGGAATAGATGTTCAGTAAATTTTATTTAATTGTTTAGGTAGGATCATGTAGAAAGTATCCTGTTAAAGACCGCCAGACTCACAAGTTAATTGGAAGGTATGAGGTGTGAGTGTTCTTGGTAGCTTTCAGTCCCTAGCCGCCTCATCTCCATCTTCCCTTTGTCTTCCTTGGCTGCTTAGTATCCATCACAGTAATTTATTAGACCCCGTTTTCAGCCTGTTCCTCGTTGGTTTTGAGAGGACCCTTGTTGGTGACAAGGTTGGAAATCCTCTATATACAGTGCTGTGCTTCTCAGTGCTAATTCCAGCTCTTCCCTTCGTGCATCCAAAGGGTATGATCATTAGAGGGGGCATGGGGCTGGGTTCTACTCAGGAATCTCTACTCAAGTAACAATCATTTGATTACTGTAAGACCCTTTCAAAGTTGGAAGGAAACTGAGACTTGGAGACCTTAAGCAGTTTGCTACAGTCATGTAATTTCTAAAAGTGGCAGAACCAGGACATTTGTTTGGTGTCCTACATGTTCCAAAGTTCATGGCATGGACCACTGGACTGTGCCACCTTGTGCCTGTTTTTATTTTGACATGTAGTCTTGCTGTGTTGCACAGGCTGACCTCAAATTCCTGTGCTCAAGCAATCCTCTCACCTCAGCCTGCCAAGTACCTGGAACTACAGGCACGCACCACTATGCCTGGTTCTGTATGTGTTTAAGCAGACGAAAGCTTATTTCTTATTGTCTTAGATCTTAGGTGTGTCTTATATTCAAGTAGTGTTTTTATGGACCTGAGTACACAAAATAGAATCTTAGATTAGTGCTCTGCTGAACAGAGAGCACAATGTCTACAATGGCTACCACCTGAAGGTCTTTTTTAAAAATACACCTTTTTGTGTGATTTGACTTTAACCATTCTCAGAATCATGTGTTCATTTCTATCCTGTTGGGGTTAGTAGCCAAAATAGAGGGTTGGTTTGGGGAGGAGCTGCTTTGTGCTCAAAAGCTATTTGTGCGTGTGTGTGTTTTTGTTTTTTTGAGACAGGGTCTCACTCAATTGCCCAGTCTGGAATGCTATGGAACGATCACGGCTCACTGCAGCCTCAGCCTCATGGGCTCAAGCCATCCTCTCACTTCAGCCTCCTGAGTAGCTGGGACTAGAGTCATGTACCACTACACCCGGCTAATTTTTCTATTTTTTAGAAGAGATGAGGTTTCACCATGTTGCCCAGGCTGGTCTCGAACTCCTGACCTCAGGTAATCCCAGGAGTTCAAGGTACAATGAGCTGTGATCGTGCCACCGCATTCCAGCCTGGGTGACAGACCCTGTCTATACAAAATAAAAAATTAATGTGCATGGTGGTGCATGCCTGTAGTCACAGCTATTCAAGAGGTGGAGGTGGAAGGATCACTTGAGCCCAAGCGTTAGAGGTTACATTGAGTAGTGATCTCACCACTACACTCCAGCATGGCTAACAGAGTGAGACTCTGTGTCTAAATAATAACGTATGGGCCCTTTGGATAAGGTAGTGTTTGTGATTTAATGTAAACTGTCTTTTTCTTGTTGCAGAGAAATGCTAACTTTGTCTTCTTCATCCATACAGGTTGGTGACATTGTGAAAGTCACAAGGATGAATATAAATGGCCAGTGGGAAGGCGAGGTGAATGGGCGCAAAGGGCTTTTTCCCTTTACGCATGTCAAAATCTTTGACCCTCAAAACCCAGATGAAAACGAGTGATTGCCGTTGCCCCGTTTCCTGCTGCTTTGTTGTTCTGCCTGTCCTAGTCTCCTTTGAAGTGGGAAAGCATTCTCTCTCATAGGCAAGTCACACTGCATTGCCGAAGTCCAGCTTTCTGCAGACTGGCAGTCGCACACACATTTGGAATGCACACAGCGACTGCCTCCTGACGTTTGTATCATAGTCGTATTGTCAAAGAGTAGCCGATTTTAGAGTTCTTTTGGATCATAAACTGGAAATACTGATGGAAGCACACAAGTGGAGAGAAGTTGACGAGGAAAGGGTCTTCCTTCTCATCGCTGCCTGTTTGTACATGGGACTGATTCTATCGTGTTCACCAGAGAAAGCCTGAGGCCATGGCGAGATACTGCATGTTTGCTGTTCCACAAAGCAGTGGCTCAGCTGCCATCTTGCTTTTCTTTGGACAACAGGAACTGAACCTTAAGGAAGAGAGAATTCTGTCCTAAAACTCCAAAATCCGGCTTTTTTTTTTTTCTTTTGGTTTGGTTTGGTTTTGGAAAACTAACTAATTAGACTTGTGTGGGGTTTTTTTGTTTTGTTTTGTTTTTTGTTTTTTTTGAGACGGAGTCTCGCTCCATCACCCAGGCTGGGGTGCAGTGGCGCAATCTTGCTTTCCTGCAGTTTCCGCCTCCCGGGTTCAAGCAATTCTCCTGCCTCAGCCTCCCGAGTAGCTGGGATTACAGGCGCGCACACCACGCCCAACTAATTTTTGTATTTTTAGTAGAGACGGGGTTTCATCATGTTGGCCAGGCTGGTGTCGAGCTCCTGACTTCAGGTGATCCACCTGCCTCAGCCCCCCAGCGTGCTGGTATTACAGCCATGAGCCGCTGCGCCTGGCCTAGACTTGTGTGTTCTAAACAGGTTAAGTAGCAGGTTGGGTTTTTATGATAGTGCAAGGAATGACACATGCCTCTGAGCTTCTAAACTGAAGCTGCTGTAACTAAAGGAATCTGAAAAGAACAACCCTGAAGCAGAGGCCTTTATTGTCTTGGTTGCCAGTAGTAGTTTGTTTTGCCATGTAGCAGAAAACACACAAAATAATGCAGCTGTGGTGTGCCATGCTATGTGCACAGCCCCTTGGATTACTTTGTTTTAAAAAGCATCAGAGTTGGGGGGTACTTTAGGGAAACCTTTGCTTACCTTGTTTGCCAGTGATAAGAGCAGTGGGTTGGAGGGCAGTTGGCCAGTTTTCTGTTCAGCTTTTCAGTGAATGTACCCCTTTAAGGTTAAGACTTAAATTCCCCTAAAAAGTGGGGTTGTTCATAGAATCACTGGACTCATTAAGGAATCGTTAAATTCCACTCACTGAAGCCCAGACCTCCGTACCCAGGCCCAGTCTCAACAGGCTGCCAGAGAAAGTTGGTGCTGCTGATACTGGTCTCACAGTCTAAGTAAGTGTCTGATGCTCCCAAGCAGTGGAAATGCAGGCTCTGGAAATTGGTTAATGTATTTGATGTCTTAGTGTTTTAGTGACTAGGGAGACCATTAACCAGTTTATCATTAACCACTTATCAGTGTATTGATGTTAAAGTATTTCCCTGTTAGCTAAAAGAGGCCTGTTCATACAAGCCAGCTGATATATACGTGTGGTTCATCCGTCATCTGCTGCTCATGGCAGACTAGAATTCTGGGAACCCTGTGCAATTCAGTCTGTTCTCCCTTCTGGGCCCTGGTAAAGACAAGCCTCAGCTTATAGTGAACACAGCAGACCTAGAAATGTAGCAACAGCCTAATGAGTAACTGTCATTTACTGAGTATCTGCTGTGACTGTGGCCCCGTCTGGAGGTTCCTAGGTTTTGAGATTTAGAACAATGCCTTCTGGAGACAGAACCAGCAAAACAACCATTTTTCAATTTTTCTTTAAATCAGTATTCCATTAGGCAGATAACTGCCATGTTCATGAATCTTGAGAGTGTTCCCTGTGACAGAATTAATGGTCAGTTGGGAAAACTATCACCATGGCTTCCCATCTGTGGTTCTCCTCTAAAATTCTTAGAGATTAGCCCTTCCTTGCCAGTGAGAACGGTGGCTGCCTCCTGCTCTGCATGGTCTGCGGCAGTTGCCGCTTCTGGTTAGGTGTGTCAGGTTGGCTTATTTTGGGTTCAGGCCTGGTGTAGCACCCACAAGTGGCAGATATATCACAGAGTCCCCAAACTCTGCCTAGAAACAGTGTTTCCCCTTTAGCCAGTGACCTGGTTCATCCCTGCCCAAGTTGAGCCCTGAGTGGAGTTTCCGGCAGAGGGAAGAATGTGCCTTGTTCAAGGAGGGCACAGACCCTTAAGCCTTTTTCAACCAGATTTAGCTGAAGGACTTGACACCTTTGAATTACAGCAGTTGACTTAGAGCGCAAGAAGTCTGTGGCCATTTTGGAAAGCAAGGTTTCCTTTCAGCCCTGTCTACTGACCAATACCCCGACTCACCTTGTGTGGTGCACTTCAGAATCAGATATACCTAGAGTATACCTGTGGTTTGGTTTTATAATTAATCAGCTCATTACTTCAGCCCATGAAAATGGCATCCAGGGCTGTCAGGAGATTCAGAGCTCAAAACAAGGCGAGCTTGAGTTCTGCACTCCTGATATGTGCCAAAAGTAAAACTTTTTGACTTACAACCTTGTCAGTTTTTTAAATCAGGCAGGGATATTCTCTTTTTCACACTAAACATATGAAAGCAGCACCCATGCCTCAGCTCAGCTTCGTGCCTGGGTTCCCCACTGGCCTGGGAAGACAGTTGTGCTCCATAGAGCAGTGCAAATCTGACCCAGAGGGTGGGTGTTCATAACTGCTCCTTGCTCTGCTCTACCATGTTTTAAGAAATATTTGGATGTTAAATTAACTCATTATGGTTTTTCACCTGGGAAGGAAACAAATTACATACTAGAGGGCATTGACTGGTTATAAACTTGTATATTCTGGGAAGGACCTGCGGTACAGGAGTCAGCCATGTCTGTGCTGTGTGGAACCACCTGACGACATGGTTAACGAGGAAGATGATGTGTTGACCGGCTGCCGTTTGAGGACTTTGGTCACCCAGACTAGACACCTTCTGTGCTCATGTTTGGAAAGCTGAAAGGGAAGGACAGCTGTGCCCTCCTGGGAGCTCACGTGTCCCTGGCACTGTGCTAGCTTTCCTTTACAGCTGTTTACAGACAAGGCAGGCCTGAGGAGGATGGCCACTGCTCTTGTGATGTTTGCTCAGAGGAATATGAACATTTTATTTTTGAAAAGGGATGATGTGGTTTTGTGCCAGGTGTTTATAATTTAATCCTTTAATATTATGGTTATTAACCTCTTAAACGTGAAAGAATTCTTGATTGTTTTAACACAGTACCTAAGACTAATGCTTTCTGTGGACACCACTGAGCTCTGCCTCAACTCCACCCTCTGGGACCGGAGAACTATGCCCCTGGAAACTGCTGTCGGTGTGGACACTGTGCTGGTTCTATTTTCTAAAGGAGTAGACAGGTCTCTGAGACAGGATCGTTGTCCCTACAGGAGGAACAGTGGCCTTGCTTCTTAGACGGTCTTCACTGTGTGTTTTAAAACAAAAACAACAACAACACCGTAAAACTCTTTTGACCTGTAATTTAAAGATCATAAACTTCAGGCAATAATATTTTCTGTGTAAGCTTTTAAAATTATTTTTGGGGATCATAGCTTGTTTTATTTTGTGCTATAAAATTAACAGTATTAAATGACTTATATTCTTAGAACACATTGAGTGTCTTTTCTTAACAGATTAGTGCCTTTTTATTTTTGTATTCCGTTTTACGTTACTGGTCCCAGCATCAAAACCCTTGTTTCCATGGCCTGTTTGTATATTGTCTCAATAAAACTTGCATCAGCCGGTGGTGGCGGCAGCTTCGGTGTTTCAGTGTCTCCTCAGTCAGCCCCCACTAGCCTCCTGGCAGTTGAGCAGTGGTGAAATCTCTGATGCTCCTCAGTGACCCCTTAGTGCTGCTGCTGACCAAGAGCTAGAATGAAGTCTTGGCATCCGCCCATTCCAACACTCGGGCACCCAGAGGAGAGCACTTGGGGTCTCCCTCCAAAAGAGAAAAAATCTGACTCCCAGAGTGTCTGCCTTGTAGGTACTGTACGGGAGCCTAGTGTTTGGCCTTTTTGAGCATGGGGCAATAGTTTCCACAGGTTGCACCACCACAGAGAACTTGGATTTTTTTCCTTCTAGGCACCCATATCTGAGGCTTCTAGTAAATATTTCTTCAGCTTGAGCTAACCAGGGTTGAATGGTTTCAAGCAGAAGTCATGGGAAGTGAGCAGCCTCATCGCAGGTCAGGGCATGATACTTATGCGGCTTTCTTGAATCCTTTTCTGTTTTTGGCTGTACGTGGTTCTCCTGATGAACTTTGGGAGACCTCCAAGTGGATTGGCTTGAGGTGTTGGGAGGCACACTGACACTCCCTCAGCCAGGGCCTTGTCTCTCCTACTCCCAGCTCTCAGTACATTTTATCTTTGACTTCACTTGTACTCTGTTCCCATAACTGTTTGTGTATTGAGAGGTGCATATTTTCTTGTAAAACCTCAGGAAGCCATTTTTAAAAATTATGGCTGGGTGTGGTGGCTCATGCCTGTAATCCCAGCACTTTGGGAGGCCAAGGTGGGCAGATCTGGAGTTCAGGACCAGCCTGGCCAACATGGTGAAATCTCGCCAAAAAATATAAAAGTTAGCCAGGCGTGGTGATGCACGCCTGTAGTCCCAACTACTGTGCAGGTAGGACCAAGGTGGGAAGATCTTTTGAGCTTGGGAGGCAGAGGTTGCAGTGAGCAGACATACCACTGCACTCCAGCCTGGGTGACAGAGGGAGATCCTTTCCCCACCGCCCCCTGAGACAGTCTTGCTCTGTCGCCCAGAGCTGGAATGCAATGGTGTGACCTCAGCTCACTGCAACTTCTGCCTCCCAGGTTCAAGCAGTTCTCCTGCCTCAGCCTCTCCTGAGTAGTTGGGATTACGGGCGTGTGCCACCACGCCCAGCTAATTTTTGTGTTTTTAACAGAGACAGGGTTTCACCATGTTGGCCAGGCAGGTCTTGAACTCCTGACCTCAGGTGATCCACCCGCCTCAGCCTTCCAAAGTGCTGAAATTACAGGCATGAGCCACCGCGCCCAGCCAAGACCCTGTCTTAAGAATAAATTTACCAGCACTTTGGGAGGCTGAGGCAGGTGGATGTCGAGGTCAAGAGTTCAAGACCAGCCTGGCCAAGATGGTGAAACCCCGTCTCTACTAAAAGTACAAAAATTAGCCGGGCATGGTGGCGGGAGCCTGTAATTCCAGCTACTAGGGAGGCTGAGGCAGGAGAATTGCTTGAACCCAGGAGGTGGAGGTTGCAGTGAGCCAAGATCGCACCACTGCACTCCAGCCCCACGGGTGACAGAGTAAGACTCCATCTCGAAAAAAAGTAAAGTTAAAAATTTATTTGAGACAATGTCTTGCTCAGGCTGGAGTGCAGTGGTAAGATGATAGCTCACCTCAAACTCCTGGGCCCAGGCAATCCTCCCACCTTGGCCGCCTCAGTAACTGGGATTACAGGCATGAGCCTCTGTGCCTGGCCCAGGATATATATTTATATAGAACTATGATGCTAAAATGTCCCTGATTCCTACTTTCAGGTTTCTGCTGAATTTGGAGAAATCTGCCATGAAATATCAAAACTGTTACATCATTCTGAAAGAAACAATACTTTCCAGATACATCTTTGAAAACTACCTTTAGAGCCTGGTGCAGTGGTGTGTTCCTGTAGTCCCAGCTACTCTGGAGGCTGAGGCTGGAGGATTGCTTGAGCCTAGGAGTTCCAGACTGCAGTGAGTTACGACTGTGCCTGTGAACAGCCACTGCATTCCAGCCTGGTCCACATAGTGACCCCTATTGAGACATAGTAACATCTCAATTTTTTTTTTTTTTTTTTAAACAGTCTCCTCTGCAGTGGCATATTCTCGGCTCACTGCAACCTCCACCTCCCAGGTGGGAGTAGCTGGGATTACAGGCGTGCACCACCATGCCTAGCTACTTTGGTATTTTTAGTAGAGACTGGGTTTCACCATGTTGACCAGGCTGCTATTGAACTCCTGACTTCAGGGGATCTGCCCACCTCGGACTCCCAAAGTGCTGGGCGTGAGCCACTGCGCACGGCCAGCATCTCAATTTTTAATAAATAACTAAAAAATAACAAGTTTGAAAAAGTATATCTTGGCCAGGAATGCTGACCTGGGTTCCTTTGAGGCGAGGGAAACTCTTGGACATGGGACATAGTCGGGACTACCCCTCTGCTTGCCTCCCTGCTGGGTTAAGAGTACAGCTGGCCCAGCCAGTCTTGAAACCTTACCCTGCAACAAAAACTTGACACCTCCAGGCTAGTCATTCTGGAGGTGTCTTCTCTGGCCAAGTCGGTGACTCCCCAGCCCACTATTGTAACTGGACTCTGTTCTTGCAGTCTTAGTGTACACCCTGGTTCTTCAAGGGCAGCAAGCAGGACTATTCCAGCAACCAGAGCTGGAGCTCAGGGGTTCCCTGTCCTGCTCTGGAAAGCTGGGGCAGCATATGTGGTGACCAGCGCGCTGAGGATGAGGGGCGCTGTGGAGCCCAGGTGGGTTTAGGAAGCATTCCTGGAGGAGGGGAAATACTGGTAATCCAGGCTGAAGGAGCTGGATGGGGCCAGGGGCAGTGGCTCACGCCTGTAATCCCCGCACTTTGGAAGGCCTGAGACGAGAGGGTCGCTTGAGCCCAGACGTTTGAGACCAGCCCGGGAAACATGGCAAGACCTGGTCTCAAGCCACACATGGTGGCATGCGCCTGTGCTTCCAGCTGCTTGGGAGGCTGAGGCTGGAGGATCGCTTGAGCCCTGGAGGTCGAGACTCCTGTGAGCCATGATCGCACCACTGGACTCCATCCTGGGTGGCAGTGAGACCCTGTCCCTAAAGAACTGGGTGACCTCGACCCTCCTGGGAACCACTACCAGTGAACCCCTTCATTTTGTGTGGCTCCGGCTCCTGGAAGCGCTCGGACAAGGAACTGTAACCCATCTACCGCGTAGTGTTGGTGTGAGAGTGGAGCCCGGGTCTGTCCCGGCGCGTGCCCGCGGCCACCGCGTTTGGGTTCCAGATCCCAGCCCCCGCGCTCAGTCCGGGCTTCCTGTCCGGCGCTCTCCCACTCCCTTCCCGCGCGCTTTTACCTGGGGTGTGGTGAGGGCGGGGGACAGAGCCGGGCGCAGTCGGGAGCACAGCCCTCAGGCAGGGCTGTGGGCCACTGTGCTGAGGGCCAGGCCGCCACGCCCCTGGACCCTGAAAGCGGGCTCGGACCCCCGCTGCAGCGCGGACTCCGGCCAGCTCCGCGTCCTCCAGATCTTTACTCATGGCCCCGCATCGCCGGGCCCAGCTGCACCTTCGGTCCCCGCCCGCGGCAGCCGAGGTGGGGCATCTCCAGCGCCGAGTCTGGGGGAGGTGGACATGGCACGGAAGCGGGTTAAGGGCAGAGAGAATCCCAGCTTGGGATGGGGGTAGAAGGTGGTGGACCCTGCGCGGGGTGGGTGTGGAGGGTGGCCGAACTCTTGGGGCCCCTGGTAATTCCGGGAGCTCCGTCCTAGCCCTCGGATCCCAAGGAAGAACTTGATGTTTCCCTGACATTCTCCAGTGCCCGTGGCTTCTGGCGTCCACAGATGGCGGGGGCACATTCAGAAGCTGCAGAGACTGGGGACTGTGGGCTGGGGCAGCTGCGGGGCGGGGGGTGGCATGGGGTGGGGTTGGGTGGCGTGGGGTTGCGGAAAGCAGGGCGTGGGGCCCAACCGCTGGCTGCGCCACCCTTCTTCGTATGGCTCTTCGGAGCCGTCGCATTTGCCCTCTCAAGGCTTCCTGGGCTCTCGGCCCTAAGTAACCTGTGTCCCTGAGTCCCTGAGGGAGGCGCAGGATCTTAGCTCTGCCCTCGCTAAGATGAAAGCAGGACCGTATGGAGGAGGGACGGTTGCATGGGATGGCCAGGGTGGGCGCCCCAAGAAGACAGCTTCCGCCCGCCCTCCAGCCAAGGAAAGCCCTGGGGAACACACTTTCAGGCTAAAGGGTCTGAGGAAGAGAAGACTAGCAAGGCGGAAGCCCTGGAGATGCCCAACAGTCAAGTCCGGGAAGGACGGAGTAGATAACCAGTAACTGCCTAGAGAGTGGGAGCCAAGAAGAGGAGGGGCCTGGACAGGGCTGCAAGGAGGAAGACACAGGCCGCCATGCCAGCCCTCTGGAAATAGCAGTTTGCAGACCACCTGAGCTCACCAAGACAGCTCTGAAGAATTTAGTGAATTATGCTTTGGCTTCTGGATTGAAGGAAAAAAGTATCTATAGGATGCAGCATTCAAAAGACCTGTAGACAGGGCACGGTGGCTCACACCTGTAACCCCAGCAATTTGAGAGGCTGAGGCGGAGAGGATCACGTGAGCCCGAGGGTTCAAGATCAGCCTGGGCAATATAGTGAGTCTCTACAAAAAAATAAAAATAAGGCCGGGCGCGGTGGCTCAAGCCTGTAATCCCAGCACTTTGGGAGGCCGAGGCGGGCGGATCACAAGGTCAGGAGATCGAGACCATCCTGGCTAACACGGTGAAACCCCGTCTCTACTAAAAAATACAAAAAACTAGCTGGGCGAGGTGGCGGCCATCTGTAGTCCCAGCTACTCGGGAGGCTGAGACAGGAGAATGGTGTGAACCCGGGAGGCAGAGCTTGCAGCGAACTGAGATCCAGCCACTGCACTCCAGCCTGGGTGACAGCGAGACTCCATCTCAAAAAATAAATAAACAAATTAGCTGGACCTGTAGTCCCAGCTACTCCACAGGCTAAGAGGGGAGGATGGCTTGAACCTGGGAGTTGGCC